TTAGCATTGTTCTTCCGACGTCTGATTTCTATTTAATTATAGAAAATGCGTTTTTCTAAGGTACATAAACTTTTGGGATTAACTGTATAGCCAATACATCCTTAAGTACTTTTGAGGAATCGTGCTTACCATAACTTCGATATGGTCAGTCACACAGCCCACGGTGTTCTCTGTCAATTCGGGGTCCTCGTTGGGCAGAGATAGAAAATTCACCCCCGTTACCTCCGTCAGCCCGTATATCGTCTATTAAGCATCGAGGATCGAATAATTAGTCATTTCGACACGCGGTGATAGAGCACCGTAATGGGAACTGCGAACCTGAATGGTCGATTTCGCGAAAGAGAAACGTTATTGATCCGGCCAAGAAACGATATTTCTCCTCGCGGAATCGTATTTATGCATACGAACGGGAGGAGTTGCCCGTGGAAGATATGTGCATAGATAAAGCGGGAAAACGCGACGCGTTACGTCGACCCGAATTAAGCGTCGGTCCCTCGTGTCGACGACCTTCGCAAATACGCGGTCCGGTCCGGCTGTGTAAATGGGTAAATAACAATTTTATCAAAGCGAGAAGACTGCTCGGGGGCGTCTCGCGGTTAAAACGTAGTAAGTCATTCGGACGAGAGGCGACGATAAATTGTGAAATCGCGGACACGATTACCTTGACATCGTCGGCCGCTGCAGCGAGCCGCACGCGCTCCGTTTCCGTTTCGAGCGATTGAACAGGGGGACTCGAGCGAATTAAGATAACGCCGCGCGGGCCAGTAAATTTTTCAGCCGGATCTGATCCGACCGATTACCTTCATATTGTTGAAATTAAACGACTCCTTTATCTGCTTGAAGAGCTCCGGCGACGCGGGTGAACCACCGGTGACGCCGTACGACAGGGTTATCGCCGGCAGCTGCATCCGTTGCTTGGCGTCTAACATATTGATCTAATAGGACAACAATTTTTGCGAAATATCAGATTTAGTATGCCTCAATAATTGAATATCAAGTATTAAAAAAAAATAGATTACTTAAGTGGAAGCTAAAGAATTCTAATATTAATACTTTATTAAACGGGTACACCTCAATATATATAAAATAATTAAAAGGAAGACAATAGGTAAAAGAAAAGAGGCAAAACTTAAGCAGTTAGATTATTGATTCGTATTAGATAAGAGTTACACTACGTGACTGCTTTTTTCCATATAGATACTGGAAGCTACTACTTATCCACGTCATATGTAAATTTATTGTGATTTCCATTCTTACGTTACGTACAAACTATTGCGATACGGTTAACAATTTTAATAACTCACCCACATAGTCGGTGTCCCGAACATCATCGTGCATTTCTCTCGTAGGGTCGCCTCCAACGCGTGGACTGGATTAAACGAACGCCCTTGCAACACGACCGCGTAACCGGAATGAAACGAACAGAGCAACCCTTTCAATATCCCGAACGCGTGGAAGTACGGGACGTTTAGGCAAGCCTTTAGCTCCAGATGGTATTGCGCCCTCACAACTCCCTAAAAGCAACCGTGGATCGATGATAAAAATTGATATCGATGACGCGGACTGATTGACATTTCACGCTAATGCAAGATTCCGTTGGAGTATCCGAAATTATCCGCAATTATCCTAAACGTCCGCAGTTATCGTGATCGATTCCGCTACGCGCTGCTTACCTGTTTCGCATTATTCAGCAATGATCTATGCGACAGCAGAGTGGCCTTGGGTTTGCCAGTGGTTCCCGAGGTGAATTGTATATTGCTACCAGCGTGGCAAGATATTTCATCCTGCTCCGCGGCGATACGTTCCACTTCTATCCTCGACGGTAGCATCTCCACGTCGCTGAATCGACGCGTTCCACTACAAAAATCCATTTCGACCGTTGGTCGTTGAAACTTCTTACGACTTCATTTATTGTAATTTAAAAACTTTCCTCCGGAGGTAGTATAGTTAAAAGCACTGACTACGGTAATAAAAAAATGTTTCTTGCCCACTCGTCAAAAAAAGTTATGATCGTTAGTTGCAACACATATATAAACATAAAGAATAGATTATGAGTACCTTCGGACGGAGCCGGGAGAAGAAATTTGTTGCGAGCAATTGGAAAAGAATTAAAACGCGCGTAACGAGCGACAAGAACGGAGCGGAACGTCGACCGGCCATTAACCTAATTGCGATTCCTTCGCGCGAACGGGGGAGGTACGGGATTATTAATCAAATCGTACCGATGATCGGGCAAAAATTTGAAAATTGCGAGTCGCAGGCTGAAAATAGAATCGACCGGACAGAGGAGGGCGGCGTTAAACGATCAATCGGACCGCCCCGGCTGGCCTGATTGCGGCCAACAGAACTATACCGTGAAGAATATACTGCATATAGGTTGCGCTTTTAGGAAATTACCAAGCGATTCGGCTAACCCGTTTCCACCCGCTCGCTCAGATAATCGTTGGTTACGTTCAATCAAACGCCTGGTTAGGCTGCCGCGTTTCTAAATCGGTATAAATCAGTTAATCGTTATCTTCATCTATTGTTTCAAAATATCGTCCTTGGGCGCAAATACAATCTTCACATCGATTTTTTATGGAGCTTGTTACAGAATAAATCTCTTCATAATTTTGTTGCACTGAGATATTAATCCGTTCCTTCAATTCCTCACGTCATCAATTCTAACTTTATTTGCTTATGACTTTGTAATAGAGCGTTTCTGAGAAAAATTCAAGTAACATTTTGTTCTTACTTTCGCACGTAAGATATATCCATTAAAACCCGGGACAACCTGTATTGTATTTATTTTTAAACATAAATATATAAAATATGCAACAAATTTATTTTTACTACCTCCAAGTAACAAAAACTATTCTTGTCTTGCTCCCATTTAAAATTTTAAAAATATGTACGTGAACTTCTAAATGTAAGTGACAAATGAAGAAGTGACTTGCTACAATGACACTCTTGTCACGATTATATGCAAATGTTAATAAGTATTTTTTAACTTTTTACAAGGTGCATTGTTATCATATTTATGTTTGAATTGCAATCTTAATTATGTCACTAGAAAAGATAATATATATTTAGATAGAATTAACACGAAGCTTAAAATAGCAGAATAATTGCGATATTAAAATAGCCGTTGTTAATAGCTGTTAACCTCGCGTTTAACAATCGGATTTTCTTGGAATTCCATCTCGGTGACTAAACAGATTAACACAAGTGTAATAATTCTGGCGAGGCACGTACCCCGCGAAAATCCTGTGTGACCGAGCTCGATTCGAATCAACGGAACGAAAACGAAAGGAATAAACGTAGTAAACCTAACGATTAAAACCGGCGACCGAGTCGCATAAGGGCCTGTGCGTCGATCGTTGCCGCGTTTTACTCGCACGCGATATTCATGAATCAACGGGAATTGCGAACGCGAGAATACATTAAAACTACGGGGCCGCCCGCTCGACCAACTTATCACGAGGAACGGACCTACCGGCCTGCGACGAATTTACTTCGGAGAGGGGCTCGCGCCCCCAAAGCGCGTTTCCTAAGGACGGAGGATTTACCGTTCTGTCACCTTATCGACCGGATACCAAGAATTATCGCCCGTTGTCCATTCACCGTGTAAATTACACGAAATTCCGGAGGAACTGGGGGTATGCCAATCGCGATATAAAAATCCTTACGTCACGTGGTCCTCCGAGTAGATAATTATGTGCTCTAAAGCGGGACACGCCTGCTTCGCTTGCAACAGCATGCGTGGGTAGTTCTGCGTTTTGAAGTTCGTCGGCGATATCACAGCTTTGACACTGACTTTCTGTAAGCAATAGACGACCTCGTCCACCTGATAGGCAGGGTTGATCGCAACCAAGATGAGCCCGGCTCTGGCTGCGGCCATGAACGTGATCAACCATTCGACGTCATTCGGTGCCCAGATTCCTAGACGATCGCCTTTCATCAAACCTAGTTTTACGAAACCAGCTGCTAGACGATCAGCGCGACGAATCAAGTCGGAGAACGTGAGCCGCACGTTTTGATGCACAGACACCACGCATTCTCGATCCGGCCATGTGTCAGCCGCCGTGGCTAACAGTTTTCCTATAGTCTCGTCGACCAGAGGAATCTTTCCGTGATTCAATATGTGCGCTATGTTTCCTTGGTGCTTCGATCGGTGCTGGCTGGCGCAGCGCAGTTTTAAAACCTGAGTACAGACTGTGTGAACGATTATTTAATTATAATGCTTTAAGTAATTGACAATGTACTAATTGCGAAGCTCTCGTCAGTCTCTGACGTAAGTCATAATTAACACGATATTGTTTGTTCTAACTTAAATGTCTCGACTGAAAGTTTCTTCAATTGACGTGGTAAAAATGTTGCGTGATATCAACGAGAAGATATTACTAAGGAGTGCCCGTGTAATCGTTGTGGGAACAAATGGGACCCAATGAGGCTCAAAACGCAGTCGGTGATCGCTCTTTTCGGTGGAATTAGAAGAAAGTAGCATAGAATCTTTACTGTACNGAGTTAAATATGATTAATCGGCATTTTATTGATACTGACAAAATTCGGCCGTTCCGTTTGTGAACAGCAAACAAGAACAAGTTTCTTGTGACTTTGGAAACTGGAATTACTTTATTGCCTTTAATGTTTATTTCGAGCGAACGGTCATGTCATATATACAAACTTGAACCATTAGACCTGTGTACATCACATGTTACTCTCGAAAGTGTATTACTATAGCTATTATGTAAAATGAATTTACAGATAGATGACACATTAAATTATTTTATTTACGGATGAACTTAACAAGCCACTTTACTCCCTCAAAAGCGGAACTAAAATCACTTATTTTACATCACAAAATTACAATTAGGGACAAAAGTCTTTATTTCCTGAAGAACCTCCTAATTACAATAAATATTTGAATCTTGGTCCCATTGCTTCTTATAAAAATATGCGTGTGCCTAAACATCCGAAGTCTGCAATGTATCAAAACTGAAGCTTCACATTCTCATCTTTTGTCAGAAATTCATTCGAAATGAGTCTTCAAATGTTTCAAGTCAAAGTACAACACAAAGGATTGAAAGAAGATTTAACTAGAAATTAAATAATCTAACCATTCAGTACTCACCAAAAGCAAAGTTTTCCACATCTTTGTGCGCACAGATGCTTGTAACCGATGGCAAGAATGATTTCCTAGTTACCAAAGTGCGTAGCATCTTTTCCAAAATAAATTCACTATGGTCTGAACGATGACACTAAGAAAATAATATTACGAGATGTACGAGTGAAATTGCTACTAATCACTCTCAATCGTTGCTTGCTGCAGTGCTGCTCAATCGCTACTAACTCGCTATCAGCAGTCTTTTCTGTTTATTTTATTTATTCCGGTATATCAATCGTCAACCACAAATTATCTATGACAGGTCGACTATCGGTCGACATATGAGTGAGCCACAAGCGATTCTTCCATATGTATGTATATATTTCTAGTAAACGGTGCTCGACCTTTGATCCATTGCGTTACCAGAGTTACAGACAGAAACTATCAGACACACATGTATAATCTAATTGAGAACCTTCACGCATGAATGAGAAACGCTCGAATCGAATCAGTTATCTGGACAACGACAACTAAGAAATGAATACGTGTCTTTATAACTACACCATTTATAGCTTCACCAGAGAAGGACGATCAAAGAGTCGTGTAATGTTCATATAACAGGTGAACAGATTGTAAAACATGTATTTCTTTAGGAGTAATAAAAATGACATGAAGTTCATGCAAATTAACAAAAAAAATACATACAATTTTCTTATATCTTATAGCTTGTCCTGTGATATACACGTGCTTTCATTTTATTATCGTTCTTAACTTTGTGTATTAATTTCCTACTAAAATATAAATACTGTAAAACAACGATTCACAGTATTCTTTAATGTTTTAATCGCCCATCGATCGAACGACGAAGATAAGTCGCGGTTAAAATGTGGATCGAGTTCCATCGACGGAGCATTGAAATGCAAGAATTTAAAAAAAGACCATGTCTGAGGTAGGAAGAAAGAACGGCAGATAGGAACGGTAAATCGGATGGAGGAAGGGTAAAGCCTCCAGATAGCTGGATGGCGTGCCTGCCGGGCCGCGCCGGAAGTCGCGTGCCGACGTCGACCATGCCACCACCGTACCACCTTCCTGGGCCCCTCCCGCGCTCCTTCCACCCTCGCGGTGGAGCTCCGCTAGCCGCTACCACCACCGCGAGTTCGCCACCCGGTTTACCGCATTTTCTTAGCATCCAACGGGGGCGAAGGCTACGGTGGTCGAAGGGGTGAGCCGCGTTTAGAACCTCGAGTCGTCGTCGGTTGCGTTGCGTCGGTGTGTTACACCGTGGATTCGTCGGCGCTACCGTGACAGTGATTGGTCGATCCTGGCCAAGCCAGCGAGAGGGTCGAGGGAAAGGCAACCCTTCGCCGAGGCTCCGCTACGTAACGTCTTCAGAATCGCTAGGATAAACGCGTCGTTAGCACACGTTCGCGCTCGGTGTCCAAATCGAAAAATAGCTCCTCGGTTACTCCTTATTTCGATCTTAATATTGGAAATCGTCATGATCTACGAACATTGAAAGAGAAGATTTACGGTGGTTCGTTAAGTGATAAGAGCATGTTGGGGCTCTGCGATGAGAGACCCACGTACGAGGTACCATGAGCAGTAACAGTAAGAAGACGTCGGGCGGGAAAGACGAAAAGAAGAACCCATCCAGCAAAGAGGAAAGCCCGGTACCTGGGAAGGATGAGGCCGGGGGATCGGCCACGGGAAGCACCGGCGGTGGTGCGAGCTCGGATGGAACGCAACCGGGAAGCAAGCCCGGGTCGGCAGGAGCCACCAGCAGGGAAGCCGCACAAAAGCTCCTCGGGCTTGCCGCGCGGGGAGAATGGGCACCGGTGGACCAGCTGCTCAAATCTTTGGAGAAGGCGGCGCAGAACGTTGGAGACGATGGTCCCTTGCTGCCCGTGGCCGGTGTCACAGACCCGGTTAGTCGACGATTTTCAGTGCGAGACAATTTCTCCTTTCACTGAACGTGAAAATATGAACAACGACGATTTGCATCGTAATTAGGGGAAGACGGGGATGAATCGTTTTAATTTCCAGGGTACGGGCATGACGCCGTTGATGTACGCCGTGAAGGACAATCGCACAGGATTACTGGATCGCATGATCGAGCTGGGGGCGGACGTAGGCGCCAGGAATAATGCAAGTATTCTACGAAGTAGTTTTTGCTTTTTCCCTGCGACCGATAAATTCGAAGAATTTCTGGCATCGGTCCTTCGTAGCTTCGGCTCGCATTCCGTGAAGCGACTATAAAGACGTTTCCGTGTTTCCGAGCCGGGCCTAGCGAGATATTGACTTTAGAATAAGTTCGCGGCCGTTGCGTGGCAGCGGGGCGTAATATTCGAGGCTGAGCCGCGTGGCCGTAGCCAGTGCAAACCACGGAACGTGTATAGTTAACGATCTGCTTGTAATCCGTGTTAAGTCCGAGCGGAGGAGGGTAAGATCGCGTGAAGGAGGGCCAAGGCCAAGGGGGTTTTCCTACTCTCTAAGAACGTAAGCGAGCAAGTAGGCCGGTGAGTCAGTAGGGCGAAAAAGTAGCTCGATCTCCAGAGCTGATTAGGCTAATTCCAGATTCTATCGGTGCGTTTCTTCGTGGCCTTACGTGGTTACGCCCAAGCTTAGAACCCGCGAGTCTATTAGTCTAACGAGCTTTCAGGAATCGTCAAGAATTTTCCGAAATGCACCGGACGCGCCCCGTCGTTAACTAATAACTAATCGAGGATCCCGGCCCCACCCAAGTGAACGTCATTTTCAAATCGTTCGATGATAAGCCGTCGTTTTATTCTGGGCGCGGCAGAACGCGATTTACTACTCGACTTCCATGCTCGACCCGAACCGAACGACCTTTCTCCGAATCATCGACCCTCTCATCATTGATCTTCTCGTTCGCAGGACAATTACAATGTTCTCCACATCGCGGCCATGTACTCGAGGGAGGACGTGGTCAAGTTGCTCTTGTCCAAACGGGGCGTCGATCCTTACGCAACCGGAGGAGTATGCACGTCTTATGAAAATTATTTGACAGATCGTAAAATTAAATGAGATGTTTTTATTTAGCCTAGGCAACAGACCGCCGTTCACCTGGTCGCGTCCAGGCAAACGGGCACCGCGACTTCCATTCTACGAGCGCTACTCGCCGCCGCCGGGCGGGACATCAGATTGAAAGTCGATGGGGTAAGCGCACTAAATGGATATTACATATCCGACAGCTTTTGTATCGGGGATGTTCTCGATCGAATTGGCAATTTTTGCGCGATTTTTATCGCGCGTTGCTCCCGATCCTCGAGCACGTTCTCTCGCGTGACGCGAATGGCCCAGGACTATCGCGGCCTGGTACCAAACAGCTGTCATAATTCTCCTCCGACCCGGTTCTTCTGCTTCTTCTTCTACCCTCACACATATACATCTCAATCTATCTCCGCCCTCCTTTTCCCCTATCCCGTAATGTTCCCTCGTTCCTTGTCTCGTAAACGAGCGAAGATTATGCGATTTCGAGTGAGGCCAACGTCGATATTTACATCTACATACGAACGTGGGTATTTATGGAAATCGTGCGCGACGGATTTCTTCTCTTCGCCCTGCCGAGGAAAATCGATCCCGGCAGCCGGTTAACGTCTCCGCGGCGGAAATCCCGTCGCATCGTTATCGTGATGTGTTGCAGAAAGGGAAGATACCTCTGCTGTTGGCAGTGGAGGCTGGGAATCAGTCGATGTGCAGGGAATTGCTGTCGCAACAGGCACCGGATCAGCTTCGCGCCACCACGCCCACCGGCGACTCCGCGCTTCATCTGGCAGCGAGGCGCCGGGACATCGACATGGTCCGGATACTGGTAGACTACGGGGCCGTCGTAGACATGCAAAACGTAGGTGGTTACGTGAACCGGTCCGATGGTTGAACGGTGCTTGAATGAGAATGCCCTACCAGGGAGACGGGCAAACGGCGTTGCACATCGCTAGCGCCGAGGGCGACGAGACCCTCGTCAAGTACTTTTACGGTGTACGAGCGTCAGCCTCCATCACCGATCACCAGGACCGTACGCCGATGCATCTGGCCGCGGAGAACGGACACGCATCCATTATCGAGTTACTAGCCGACAAATTCAAGGCTAGCATATTCGAGAGGACGAAGGACGGCTCCACGCTGATGCACATCGCCTCGCTGAACGGGCACTCGGAGTGCGCGACGATGCTCTTCAAGAAGGGTGTCTACTTGCATATGCCCAACAAGCGTGGCGCCAGATCCATTCACACCGCGGCCAAGTACGGGCACGTCGGCATAATAAGCACTCTATTGCAGCGGGGGGAGAAGGTACTCGAATCGGGTTTCCTCTGGGAGTTAGAAAAATCGTGTTCGAGTAGATGTAGAGTATAATTTACGATATAGGTGGATGCCACTACGAACGATAACTACACCGCGCTGCACATAGCTGTGGAGAACGCGAAGCCTGCGGTGGTGGAGACTCTGTTAGGCTACGGCGCGGAGGTTCATGTACGAGGAGGAAAACTTCGGGAAACGCCTTTGCACATAGCAGCCAGGGTACCGGACGGCGACAGATGCGCACTGATGTTATTAAAATCTGGTGCGGGACCCAATTTGACTACGGACGATGGTCAGACGCCCGTACACGTGGCTGCTAGACATGGAAATTTAGCAACTCTGAAACTGCTGTTGGAGGATGGCGGTGATCCGATGTTCAAATCGAAGAACGGGGAGACGCCGTTGCACTTGGCTTGCAGAGGGTGCAAGGCCGACGTGGTGCGGCATTTAATCGCGTTCGTAAAAGAGAGAAAAGGCTCGGAGACTGCCACCGCCTATGTGAATAGCGTAACGAACGAAGGGGCGAGTGCTTTGCATTACGCCGCTCAGATCGAACCGTCGGAAGTTGGAACTCCCGGTGACGACCGAGCGGTCATTCGAGCTTTATTGGAAGGTGGTGCGGACGTGTCGCTGCAGACGAAACAGGCGCAGGAATCTGCGTTCCATCATTGCGCGCTGGCTGGTAACAATGAAGTCTTATCAGAGATGATAAGCGGTATGTCAGCCACGGAAGTGCAGAAGGCGTTGAACCGTCAAAGCGCTGTGGGCTGGACGCCGTTGCTGATCGCTGCTCATCGCGGTCACATGGAATTGGTCACGAATCTTTTGGCGAATCACGCGAGGGTGGACGTGTTCGATCTGGAGGGAAGATCCGCGTTGCACCTGGCCGCCGAGCACGGCTACCTTCAAGTATGCGACGCGTTGCTGGCGAACAAAGCGTTCATAAACTCGAAGTCGAGGGTCGGTAGAACGGCGCTGCACCTGGCAGCGATGAACGGCTACTCGCATCTCGTCAAGTTCCTCGTGCAGGACCACGGGGCTGCGATAGACGTTCTTACGCTGAGGAAACAGACGCCGTTGCACTTGGCGGCCGGCGCCGGTCAATTAGAAGTGTGCAAACTACTGCTCGAACTCGGGGCGAGCATAGACGCGACGGACGATCAAGGCCAGAAGCCTATTCACGCCGCGGCGATGAACAATTATGCGGAGGTGGCCCAGCTGTTCCTCCAAAGGCATCCGAGTCTCGTGATGGCATGCACCAAAGATGGGAATACCTGTGCTCACATAGCCGCGATGCAGGGAAGCGTGCGGGTGATAGAGGAGCTGATGAAATTCGACCGGCAGGGTGTCATCTCTGCTAGGAACAAGTTGACAGAAGCGACGCCTCTTCAGTTAGCTGCCGAAGGTGGACACGCCGAGGTGGTGAAAGCATTGGTCAGAGCCGGCGCGTCATGCGCTGATGAAAATCGAGCCGGGTTTACCGCGGTTCATCTGGCCGCGCAACACGGACACGGTCCCGTGTTGGAGGTGATGAGATCTTCTCAATCCCTTCGAATATCCAGCAAGAAGCTCGGCGTTACAGCTCTTCACGTCGCAGCTTATTTCGGTCAAGCCGGTACTGAGCTACGAGACAATATTGCATTCTTCGGCCATCTTTGAATTCTTTTAAACCGTCTTCTTTAATCCTGTTTAAGATACCGTGCGAGAATTGCTCACTCACGTGCCAGGAACAGTAAAATCCGATCCGCCAACGGGCGGTTCTTTAGTAGGAGAATTAGGAAGCGAGTCTGGAATGACTCCTTTGCATCTCGCTGCTTATTCGGGCAACGAGAACGTGGTCCGATTATTATTGAACTCGGCAGGTGTACAGGTATAAAAAAAAAAACATCATTTATTTCCTTAAATACTTAATGCCATGTCTGACGTACTGCAAGAATTATTTAATCGCCCGAAGGTTGAAGCAGCGACTACGGAGAACGGTTTCAATCCCCTTCACCTGGCCTGTTTCGGGGGCCACATCACGGTGGTGGGTCTCCTCCTGAGTAGATCCGCGGAATTACTCCACAGCTCTGATCGGTACGGTAAAACCGGTCTGCACATCGCGGCGACCCACGGCCATTACCAAATGGTCGAAGTTCTGCTCGGTCAGGGGGCAGAAATAAACGCGACGGATAAAAACGGTTGGACGCCGCTGCACTGCGCGGCTCGCGCTGGTTATCTCGATGTAGTTAAATTGCTGGTGGAGAGCGGGGCCTCGCCGAAGAGCGAAACCAATCTCGGTAGCGCGCCGATTTGGTTCGCCGCCTCGGAGGGCCACAACGACGTGCTCAAGTACCTCATGGAGAAGGAACACGATACGTACGCCCTGATGGATGATAAGAGGGTAAGCGTTCCGGTATTCTACATATTTTCTTGAAACTCGAACCGCGCCAGGGTAATTGCCGCAGAATTCGAAAACTTTTAACGCGAGCAATGATCATCATTTCGGTGCTATAAATTCTGTCGGACATGAAAGTAGTTAGCACGCGATTCTCAAACTTTCCACCTCCCACTCGCGTGTTCCGCTGGTGATGCATCGTGATCGATTCTCGTTCCGTTGGCCTTTCAGTTCGTCTATAATATGATGGTCTGCAGTAAAAACAACAACAACAAGCCGATCGAGGAGTTCGTGTTGGTGTCACCGGCACCGGTAGACACGGCGGCGAAGCTGTCTAACATCTACATGAAACTGTCCGAGAAGGAAAAGGAGAGGGCCAAGGATTTAATCGCCGCTGGAAAACAATGCGAGGCGATGGCTACGGAATTACTGGCCCTGGCCGCAGGCGCCGACTCGGCTGGGAGGATTCTCACGTCGATGGATCGACGGAACGTCGAGTTCTTAGACGTGTTGATCGAGAACGAGCAGAAGGAGGTGATCGCGCACACGGTGGTACAGCGATACCTCCAAGAACTGTGGCAGGGCAGCCTGAACTGGAACGCGTTCAGGACGATCCTCTTGTTCATCGCGTTTCTCATCTGTCCGCCGGTGTGGGTGGTGTTCGCTCTCCCGCTCGGCCACAAGTACAACAACGTACCGATCATAAAGTTCATGTCTTACCTCACGTCGCACATATATCTGATGGTCTTCCTCCTGCTAGTCGGTATAATCCCCATATATCCGGTCGTAAGGCCGAGCCTGGTACCTTACTGGTACGAAGCATGCCTCCTGGTGATGCTGTCCGGGCTGTTGCTCTTCGAGCTGACCAACCCCAGCGACAAGAGCGGTCTGGGTTGGATCAAATTGGCAGTGCTGCTGTTCGGCATCTGCGGAGTCGCGTTCCATTTGATGGGATTCGTGGTCGTGCAAAGACCCTACTGGCCGACTCTGCTCTATCTCAGGAATCAGCTGTTCGCTCTGAGCTTCCTGCTGGCCTGCGTGCAGATCCTCGATTTCCTCTCGTTCCATCATCTGTTCGGACCGTGGGCCATCATCATCGGCAATCTGATGAAAGACCTCGCGAGGTTCCTCGCGGTGCTCGCGATCTTCGTGTTCGGCTTCTCGATGCACTTCGTCGCGCTGAACCAAGCGTTCAAGAACCAGACACCCGAAGAAGCGCGACGGGAGGACAGAAAGTACAAGGGCGCATTCTCCGACGGTAAGTTCGACGCACGCGATCACTTATAACGATCCTTGATTAGATTCTAGTATTAGAGAGAACGAGAGAGAGAGAAAGGGAAAGAGAAATCTAACCTCCTGACTTTTACCCCTGTTTTATCCCCTCGGATTAAAACGATCGCAGCAATCTTGCCAAATACGAGAAGTAATTAAATAGCGGCGCGGTCGATGGGACCGCGAACATGCGATACGCGCGCTTAATCGACGCTCCTCCTCTTTTGAGAGAGCTCGACCGAAAAGAGTTAAAATTAATCCAAGCGTAGCGAGTGATTATATATATACGTATGTATATATATATATTATGTGTTTATTAAATTTATTTATTCCCAGTGTCTTAATAAGCACGTAATATATATATTTTTATATATATACATACTATGTGCTTATTAAATTTACTTGTTCGCGGTGTCTTAAACTAAGCGACCCTACTGTAAAATCAATACCGTCTCGATATCACGGGCTGTCCCCCGAAGCGGACGCGTAAGATCAATCGGTTGTCCATGTATGAATAGAACAGCCTCGTTACCTCGAGACAAACGCATAATCGGATCAATTGCAATGATAGATTTGTTGGCCAATGTTACGGAATGGATGATGGAGACGCCATCGACGGCGCCTCCTCGCCGCTACGGCCGCTACAAGAAAAAGAATGAGTGTTGTGACGATAGCTCCCGAGATAGTAAGTTTTGACTCAAAAAAAAAAAAAAAAAAAAAAAAGCGAACAGCAAGAAAAATGCTCGCAGGAATACGCGACCCAGAAGTCGCGATCGGAACGCGTACTGAATGGCAATGACACGTGTGCACAACGGAATGCAGGACACGATTCTTCTTCGGTGTCGTATCGTCCGCATTGTGCGTTTGCCCGATGTGTGTTGCCTGCTGGGACTGCTGCCTGTGATTCTGACATGATTACCATAAATATATACTTTTGCCGCGAGAAATGTTTGTCACCGCAATGTAAGCCCGCGCTGTGATTCGGGCTTGTGACGAGAATCCTGCAGCGCTTAGGACCTGTCTTCCGCACTTATAGCTGTCCCCCTTCTATCCGTTCCAAAAGATCTTCCCGACGCGATAACCGATTTAAGAACGCGACGAGGGGTACAGATATACTCGCCTCACTCAGCCGTGCTCTGTGTTCCTTAGCCGCGAGTCCGAATCGCAGCTGCTCGGTGTAGAGATCTCGAGGTCTCGCCGAGTGGGCTGGCGATCACCGCCGGCTTGTTTCTTACCTCACGGAGGCGCCAATCGAGCGCGCGTTTCTCCACAGCCTCTGTTGTGCATCGTATGCATTTCTATGATACTTATTTACAAGAGCAATGTTTTGTCATCCCTCCTGCTGTTTTTCGAGTCTTGCGCAATGCGTGTTTTGTGTGTCACTGATCGGCCAAGTCGAATTACGACCTCGAGAAGCGTCGGGCCGACGCTCGCACATTCTTCCCTTGAATCCTCGAAGAGAGCTCCTCTTTTTCCTCGCCCTTCGCCGTTCTTCCGGCTTCCTGATTCGAGATCTTGGCCGCTTTGCGCGCATCCGAATAAGCGAAGCGTCCGGTCCTTGCATGCGCACGGTAAATAGTTCTCTTTACATACGTTATACGTGTTCGCTCGCATTCAAGACATCGTCTGGATGGCTCGAAGATAGAACGGGGAAACGGAAGAATGTGAGAGAGAGAGAGAGAGAGAGAGAGAGAGAGAGAGAGAGAGAGATTGTAAGACTGAGAGAGAAAAAGCGCTCGCCGTATGCATGCTGCATCTCATCGTCGAAAACAATCGAGTCGATTGTGAACGCCGTTCGGAGAACGTAGAGAGAGAGAGAGAGAGGGAGAAAGAGGGAAGAGCGCGCAGATCCGGATGGTCAATAGAACATACATACTTGGCTTTGTAGATCCTCGAGTGCATCCCGCGGGTTCCTCGTCGCGGATTTACGAAAAATGAAAAAATACCGAGCGGAGTACAAATGACAGAAATTAAAAACGGACACCGGACGATAAAGAACGAGTTAACACACGACGTGGATCGAAGTCACGGATACGATCCGGCATGCACCCAACGTAATTCGCAAGCATGGCCAGTCTGTATTAGCATGAGCATGTTCGTACATTCATCGTTCGTTCGATCGTTCGTTCCAATGTACGTATGATGTATACCACACCCGCATCCATACATAGCGAGTCCACCAGTAGCCAGCCTTAAACCGGCACGACGCAGCAAGTCACGAGAGAAAACGCAAACCAAACAAACAAACAAACAAAAAAAAAAAAAAATTCAATCTAAAACCAAAAAGGCCAATGACAAATCAAATCAAGAAATCGTGTGTGTGCCTCGAATTCCAGTAAAGATGAATCCCATACTCGCGTTCGAGTACCTGTTCTTCGCCGTCTTTGGCCAAACGACCCACGGCGAGTTGAAGGTCGAGACCAATCAGCCGCAGTGGACCTCGGTCCTGTTCAAGTTGGCCTTTGGCGTATACATGTTGGTATCGGTAGTCGTATTAATTAATCTACTGATCGCCATGATGAGCGACACCTACCAACGGATACAGGCGCAATCGGACATTGAGTGGAAATACGGGCTCAGTAAACTGATCCGAAATATGCACAGGTAAGCCCACGGCGAACTACGTGTACCGTTTACGAGACGAGTCGGGTCACTACGTTTGGAATACTCGTCAACCAGTCTCTATTGTGTCCGAGGGACGGTTAGCAAAAATAAAAAAAATAAAAAAAAAAAATGTGAAAACGCGCCGCGTAGTTGTTCCTCCGCGAAACGAAAGTCTGCGGGCTAGGCTGGACCATTCCGTGTTGCAGAACGACCACCGCCCCGTCGCCTCTAAACTTGCTCACTACATGGATCGTGTACTTCATCAAGGTGTGCAAGCAACACGCCGCGAAACGAAAGCGTCCGTCTCTGGTGCACATGATGGGACTCCAACACGCCGGTCGTCTCTCGCCGAGATCAAAGATGGGCGCGAAGTGGCTGGCCAAGGTGAAAAAAGGTCAAGTCAGACCGAAAGACAGCGTCACCCTGTCCGTGGTGCACTTGAGCCCTCTCGGTAGCCAGCTGTCCTTCAATAGCGCCACGAGAATCGAGAGTGTGGTGGACTGGGACTCGATCCGTAAGAAATACCTGGCACTGGCCGGTAACGAGCCCGAGAAAGAGGCGAACAAAGACGAGAAGAACGAGGACGACGAGAACGACGCCGAGAACGCGCCGACGGCTTCGAACTCGTCCACGGTGGCCGCAACTTCAACGCCGCCGATCTAAACGAAGTCTGATCCTCGCCTCGGAACCGCGAGGAACTTCGATTCCTCGCGACACTTGATTAAATTTATCGCGCGTGACACCGCATAGAAATTCAGCTCGCGCCCGACCGATCTAGGTAACGTCTCGTAGTTGGACACGTAGCGTCCCTCGAAGATCAACCTTTTCGCGAGTCATATAAGTTTACGTAAGTAGCGTGCCCTGCGCGAACTCGGATAGAGAAGTACAAACTGTTGTATCGTGCGCCTAGATAACTCGATCCAGCATGGCTATCCCGTCTCTGGACTGCACCACGACTCCTTCCTTCCCATGACGTAGAACTATGTCAGACCGATTAAGACATCCCAGGTCCTAGTGTAACGCGCTCCTCCTTATGTACGTCTCTTAGCGTTCTAGCCATAGCGACACCCTGCCTCGAGACCATCGAGGCGGACACACACGCACTCACATATTACGCATACGTACATACATACATACATACAGACAACAGATTGAAGAACATGAACCGTGTGTCGCGGTACACAGAGATCTTACAAGACGTATCGTTCCCACGTATTTCCAGTCAGGATGAGTCCCATACTGGCCGTTGAGTTATTATTCTTCGCCATCTTCGGTCAGACGACTCACGAACAGTTCAAGGTTGAAAACCTGCAGCCCAGCTGGACCAGAAATCTCTTCAAGCTGACCTTCGGCATTTATATGCTGGTCTCGGTGGTCGTGCTGATTAATCTGCTAATCGCCATGATGAGCGACACTTACCAGAGGATACAAGCTCAGTCCGACATCGAGTGGAAGTACGGATTGAGTAAGCTCGTTAGGAACATGCACAGGTAAGGATCCGATTCAAGGATCGTTTTGCCGGCCGGTAATGCTAATTGATTAGACACGTTTGTCGATGCGCAGGACGAACATGGCACCGTCGCCGCTGAATCTCCTTACCACCTGGATGGCGTATTTGTACAAACTCTGCAAGAAACGTGCCGCGAATAAGCAACGGCCCTCCCTCGTCCGGTTAATGGGGTTGCACAGAACCGACGCGCTCTCGGCCCGCAGCAGAATGGGCGCGAAATGGTTGTCCAAAGTGAAAAAGACTCAGGTGGCTCACAAGGACAGCGTCGCACTGTCGATAGTCCACCTGAGTCCCCTCGGTAGTCAGCTGTCGTTCAGTAACGCCGTCAGAATTGATAACGTCGTCGATTGGGACGCGGTCAGGAAAAAGTATCGCGATCTCTACGGTGAAAAGGTCGATAAGCAAGTCGAGGAATCGAAAGAATCTACGGAACACGATCACTCGCTGTCAAATCTGGAAAACTCGCTGGCCGGTCTTCCTTCCGGGAATCAAGCTGCGCCTAATTCCGTCCCTTAAATCGACCTTTGTTTCATTCAATTAATAGGTGGTCCCCGATCTTAGTTATTCTTCTGCGGAATGTTATTCTTGTTCTTCATGTACAGTCTCGTCATCGTACGATTTTTCTTATCGAAATAAACGTCCAAATAGACCGAATCACTTTTCGATTCTGTCGTCTCTTACTCCTTCGTTACAGTGATTACCAGAGGAGTTATAGCAATAACGTGATCCAATGGTTAGTCTCATGTCTCTATGTGTGTACTTGTATTGCCTGAATCCTTACACTGACCAGTCGGCGAACCGATAAAGTAATAGCGTGAGCGAAATATTGTTATTAACAAAAGTGCATGCGTGCATGTTCGATCAAATCACTGACACTTGCAATTAAAAGAAGAAAGAGTCAGCGTCAAATCGTATTGCGAAATCGGTGCATCGACCGTCTGCCGTTAGCTCCCGATCGTTCATGACACACATTCTTCATCGATTAAAATCACTCGCACGAGATGTTTCAGATAGATTCGGCGTCATTTCAAATTCATGATTCAGCGATCATTCATTAAAATTCCCACCGTTCCCGTTCTTCGTCTCCATCGCATGTGCATATCCCTTTCTTTCAATCGACGTCATTGACACCGGCTGGAACGCAACGATCACGAGAAATAATGAAGAAGGCTCAGCGATCATTGCGTTCCTATGAGATCTAACAATTTTAGTCGCTTCATTACGTTCTTTCAGTGAAAGTGAGTCCCGTCTATATCGTGGAAAATCTTTTCTTCGCTATTTTCGGCCAGAAGGACACGGACGACTTCATGGTATCGTTGAAACGAAAGTCGCAACCGAATTGGACGATATATTTCTTTAAGGTCAGGTCTAATGTACATGATTAATAGTCAAATGATTTGACGATCAATGATCCCGTCTTCTGGCAGGTATCCTTCTCTTTATACATGTTGGTCAGCGTCATTGTACTGATCAATCTGTTAATCGCAATGATGACCGACACGTACCAAAATATCCAGTCGCAAAGCGATATCGAGTGGAAATACGGGCTCAGCAAACTTATTCGTAAAATGCAAAAGTAAGTAGATCGATCGCGCGACCCGATGATCAATATCGCGACACGCGCTCTAAGAAGACATCGGAATTTTTTTTAAGAACACGAACTGCGCCTTCACCGTTGAACCTCGTTTCTTCCTGGATTCCATACGTCGCGAAGGCGTGCATGAGCCGAAGACGTGAACGCAAAACCGGAGTAATGCACCTGTTCGCAGGGCATCCGTTCGTCCAGGTACGTAAGGACCGACAGGCGTATTGTAAGTAAAATACGTGAACAGTGTTTTTATTTCCGTACAGGATAACGGGGTATCTCAGCAACGGGACGGTATCAATTTTCCGTTGCTTCAATCAAGTCCGATGGACAGTCAATTATCTTTGAGAGACTCGATCAGAATCGAAGACGTCGTCGAATGGGACGTCGTCAGACGAAAGTACAGAGTTCGTTTCGGCAACGAAATCGAGAAGTCTCTTCCAGAGGACTCGTCAATAACTAACGCAGACACTTAATTATCTAACTTCGCCAACATTTATATACACCGTAGTATATTTCGCATTCCCACGAAAATCTTTGTATCTTCTATTTGATATGCCTTTTTATCTGCTACTCTATATTAAACTTTACATATTAACATTTTCTTATATCTTGCAAATAAAGTAAAACGGTTTATGAAATGCTGTTTTTATTATATCATTTATAAACCTTTGAGAATACTACATATCTAACGTTTAAACTGTATATAATACAGTAGTTATAAAAAAATAGTAGTTAATGCATACATAATACTGAAGTTATAGGAACATTTGTATTTTGATAATATCACATAGTTAATAGTTTGGTTTGCTGATGTATGTCAATTCTTTGCCGTATCTGTAATGAGTGGTGACCGAGAGGCCGAATGAAGCGGCATGCGCACGTATACATTTGTCTTCTTCCGGAGTCAAAGAGTCAGGAAGCGGCTGTCTCAATATATGCGGGTCCTCAGCGAATGCTTTACATATATCTTGTACAACCTTCTCGAAAGCGGAGAGATCCTTCTTCTCTTCTACTGGTATGTTCAAGCAGTTTCTCCACAATTTTTTCTCAAGATCGGCGTACTTTATTCGCTTTTGATTTACAAATTTAATTTCTTTTTCTATTTTAGTATCCCTAGGTTCCATCGAGCGAGCTATTTGTAATTTTTTCATGGCTTCGTTGAACTCTCCGATTCTTGCTAACGCCCGACCATGATTGAAGTACGTTTTAGCATTGGGCGTTACAACCCTGTTACATGCGCTACACGCGCGGCGTGGCATATTTTCCTTGTTGTAACAAATCGCAAGATTATTGTAGCCCCTTGAGAGCAAGGCGTTAGCCTCTTGTTCCTCTTGATCATTTGCCAATTTCGCTTCTTCCATCCACTCGAGTGCCTTAGTATATTCCCTTATAGCTTGTTTGCATCTACCCCGTTTGAAGTAATCGTTACCAGTACTGAGCTTCGCTTTCACTCTTTTAACAATATTTGGAAATTGTTTCCTTTCTTCTGGAGGCAAGGTTCCAATTGCTGCAACACATCCGTTGTCCACGTAATCGTCTAACTGTACGACAAATAGGATCTCTTCGTTTGGAGGAATACGAGGAGGACAACCATACTGCCCATATCCCAAATCTGGATGTATGATGAATACAGCCACTTCATGCTTCTTCATTGACGATATAGCATAGTCTAAGCCTGGTATCAGCGTACCTTGACCAAGGCGCAATATGTCAGAACCGCCTCGAGTAAAACTAGAATCGAAAGGATCGTCTCGATATTCAAAGTATCCTATGTATTTAACTGTGACTTGTGCATCCTTTGGCACTGTATTTCCGATACCCTCCTTTTTAATCAATTTCATGATCTACAAACAGCATTAACAAAGAATTACACAAGGAAATAAAAAATGTGTAGGTGTAGAACTAGTAATTAGTCACCTTTCCGTCTTCCGTAAGATCGAACATCTTATCCTTCAAAGATGCGAAGCTGATACCACAAATTGTCATCATACAGTCTTTAGAATCTTCGGTATCCTCTTCGTCCAGAAAATCTTCCATGTTTAAGAGATTCAATACTTCCTCGTTAGTCAACGGTACTTCCGAGTTAAAATTAAATTCCTCATTGTCTTCGCACGCTTTAAAGTCATCATCGAATTCCAGTATAACTCCGTTGTTTGATGTTAAGTCACTGAAACATATTTTCATACAACTCTTCATTCTTAAATATTCAAGTATATTGTTACACGTGCGTTTGATCATGCGATCGACTACTTACCGGAGGGATAATCCATCCAATAAGCTATCCAGGCGCCTCGCCATTCTAATTGTTTGTTAGACACTTGATTATATCCCAAAGAAAACCCAAGCGCAACCAATTACGTCTCAACCAGAGGAAATGGAGAAAATTAAAGAGATAATACAGCACGTGGAGCACGAATAGAGCCATGGCCATGAACCAGCCATGAACGGATGGATAGCATTGCTATTGGTTGCTATTATGAGGGGAGAGGGAATTTCTCCTCTTCCCATTCTGTCATACAACCCAAAAAAAATCCAAGCGGCCATTTGATTCTTTCAAAGTTTCGAGGAATAGAAAGCGCGATTTAGAATTTTTATTTACTTTAACAATATCAAATAAATGATTCTAGTTTACAATTTTGTACAAAATAAAATAAATCAACTGTTTTTCGGACATTAAATGAGTGACTTAATATTTATAGACTTTTATAGCAAATAAAAATATTTACATATATCAAATATGTTTTCACATCAAGTATGTAAGTGCTGTTAATTTATATTATTATAATACACGGTCAAAACCATTTATAAAACGAAACCTTTGTAGGTGCAGATTAATTAGAAACGCAATTTTAGGTTAGACCACTGAGGACCTCGGTAAGTGAACCTTCGAAATAGGGGAGAGAGACGCGCTACGTATAATACAATGATCTATTGAAGTCACGAAACAATCTATCTGTAATCATCATTTATGTATAACATTTATAATGTAGTTTTAGCATTAAATGTGATATATCTATCTCTTCATTTCAGAAGATTTCAACTTCTTCGGTAGTATAGTGGTAAGTATCCCCGCCTGTCACGCGGGAGACCGGGGTTCGATTCCCCGCCGGAGAGAATTTAATTTTTGATTTTTCTTCTTTTTAATATGTTTTCTTAATTATTATTCTTCTATAATGTAGCGACTGCCTTGATTTATATTTTAAAGTATAAGGGTTCCCTCTGGACGTTCTTTAATCCTGCTGCTCCGCGGAAAAGAGGGCAACAGAAAGGAGTTATGCTATTCCGTCATGCTTGCTTTATTGAGTTATTTATTCGTTACAGAAGACATGAGATGCTCGTATACGCTATACATACATTTCTTCACAATTTATAATTCGTTTGAACAAAACTCTCAGCGCAAAACCGTTTGTTGCATTCGTGCGTACGACTCACAACAATAGACAGATACATATGTACACATGCATATTCGCAATGAGACGATATACTAGAATTTGAAATGAATTTCAGACGAATTAAACGGGAACAAACATCGCTGACATTTAAATAATCGCTAATGCAATCACTATACTCTAGAGTAATATATACGTATATATAATCACCGATGAATTTTTAGAATTCTTTTGCACTTTAGTTATTCGTAGAGAGTCTTCGGTTTTTACCCTACCTCTACCGATATTTTCTTGGCTGGCTTGGAAGACTTCGTTTTATTTTGATCCATCTTATGGCAAAGTCTTTTAGACGATTTCGGTATTCCTCCTCGCGCGTTTTGCTTACTCGATAAGAACAACGCCTTCGAGGAGGACTTTGCACCTTCCGACGCGTTGTGAGAGCACTCTCCAACTTCCAGCCGTTTATTCATCCTCGTCGAAACGATTTTTAATCTCTTCGCCCCGTGTTTCACGATAGCTGTTTCCTCGGAAGATAGCATCGCTTGCGCCTTCTGCGTTTTACTTGCCTTTACGGTCGCCTTTCTAGTTGCACATTGATTCTCCGATGCTTTTAAATAAGATTTCGCAATGTTCTTCGTTCCGAGCACGGAGACCTTAGCAGCGTTCTCGATATTATTGACGCATTGATTTCTCAGCGGTCTGCGAGTTATCGTCTGCTTGGATTTTTTGCTGCTTCTTATTCTCTTTACCGCAGTATAAAGGGACGTGGTGCGGCGGACGATGCATGGCTTTTTCACGAGGTTCGTCTCGCTTCTCAATGAATTCTTCGACCCGACAGACGAATCGCTTATCTGAGATTCGATATCTTTTAAATTACACGCATCCGGAAATGCGGCACCGTTATCATCCTGTGAATAAAAGCCCGGATAAGAAAATAATCACAATGTACATAGCACGCAGTAAATGAGTTGTGAGAGAGAGAGATTGATTTCTGTTTATCTTCTTTCATATTGTCACAACAGTGAAAAACACACATCGATCCCCAGGAAACAATTAATAAGTGCTTATAATAAAACAGTGAGGGTTTTCTAACGAAATGTTTAATGTTTGAGGAAGACATAAATGTTTTACATAGCACTGGCAATGATTGGGATTAAGGATTAACGGAAGTAAAATAAAAATAAGGTAAATAAATGGTCGCTGAAAATATAGTAGTATTTATTAAAACAATAGGATATGTATGTGTATTCATGTGTGTGTACATGCTATACATTATAGAACTTGTATACATGAATCTATACATAACACGCCTCTCAAACTGTAACTGTGTACGTATATGTGTATGTATATATTTTTACATTCAAGTATGTAATGAGAAGCATGATAATAAATTACATTATTACATCGTATTCAGTTCTGCCTCGTTTCGACAGTACAACACACATTCATACTTAATTCCTTTAATAGACACATGCAGCTTTTTACTTTTCAAGAATGATCAAATTCGAATTATTGTCATATTTTTATTAACTTTGCTTCACGCGTAAAAGACACCCCGCCGTCGCAGAACTATGGCTCAATCGGCTATGTGCAGCTATATTTATTCTTGCTAAAGAAATAGATGGGATTAATTAAAAAATACGTGTATACTTTTCTATAGCATCGGTCACAGGTGTGAAACAATCCTTAGGTGCGTACTACTTTTAAGTGCACTTATCTATTCTTGCCAGAAGCGTAGCGCATAAAAATTATCTAAAGGAAATATAAAAAAAAAATGAGTGTATAATTCTCGGCAAGATATGAAAGCGTTAGCGTTTAGCATTTCCACGTTCTATCCATGGTACAAGTTACTGCAATGAAAATAATTGCACAATCTTAAATATGTATGTATCAGACACAACATTATGAAGAACGCCACGAAGCGATTGAGAACGCTGTACATAATAAACATTGTAAATAATACGTATCTGTTAACACAATAGTCGCAACTTTGTCCAGTCGCATTTGTAAAAGGTATTTTACACGCTTTGTGATTACGACTAAAATTATTTTGATACATCTATAAAAAAGAGTAGACGAAACAGTTTTCTCATAAACCTTTATGCAAATGTGTACCAAAATATTATTGTCATGCATACACATGTATCAAATAGGAAGACCCATTAGTTGAATATAATAAAAAAGTTGTACAGAATATTAATCGCATGTTTAAAAAGTATTAAATACTTAATACATTATGTATATATGTACTATACAAATTTTTCGTTTACAATATAAATGTAAATTTATAAAATAGGAATAGATTTCTTTTACCTATGATAACAAATTCAATAATTTCGCGCTATTAAATTAAAATAATGTACAATTTGTATGTATACAAAATCTCTCTCCCACATTTCTTAATCGGCAACGAAATGTGCAGTTTGATTAGGCACTAATGTGTCTTGGTATTAATGTATGAAAGCGTACCAAGTTAATACAAGATATTACGAATTAAGAGAGTACACACTGCCGTATATTAACAGCTGAAAATTCACTCTCGTTATTTACATCAAAATTTACCTTATGCAGAGATTTGCCGTTTGGCGAGGAAAGATTGTTCACGTATGCTAATTTTAAATAAGACTTTACGCCTCTTAATGAGCGATATTGACTATTTGGCAGTCGACTGTTAGGATTATTAGTCGTAAGGTCCAGAATGGAAGGACCCAACGCTGCTCCAACCTATAATCAAACGAACGGTCATCGTTTCATGTTGGTTTCATTAATTAATCTATGTTGATTAAGAAAAGTGATCAAGCATTACCCCTTCGAAAACTCCTGGAGTATATTTCGGCGGGACGAACATGGGAGTCATATTCTTATTTACACCATCGCGAATCCTTGCTGGCACGGTATTCACCAATCGTCCTGAATTATAGTTACACTCCAGCGTATAACTACGTATAAGTCCAGTAAGTTTAAATACAGCCACGCGACCCGATCCTTCTCTCGACATACCATCCCTTTTATCTCTGCAGGAACAGATACGTTACATAAAATCCAAGAGAAATTAAACGTTCGCTTTACATCGACGTAATAGCACCTACATTATATACATATTCCTTTCCGTGAAATTGCACGAAGCGAAATGAAAATTTGGATTGTTAATCGACATTAACTTCGGTAAAAGCATACACGTTATCGTGTCCTCTATGTTATCGAAGTAATTCCCGTACATAAAGACACCCTTTTTCGAGGCGTGACCGTGTAAGTCAATATACAGATACAATCCCGAATCCTCTTTGGGCAAATGTCCTATGCCGACAGCAGTATAAGTCTTCTTATCAGATTTCAGTTCTACGGAATTGTCAGTTTCTTCCGTTTTACTAGTCAGTCCTTCTCCACCACCTTCGCATAACGTGAAATGAATAAAAGAATTCCGATCGCGTTCGATAACTCAATTATAAATATCGTACCCTCAGGCATTCCGTCCATATCTGCCTTCGATAACGCGCAATCCTGAAAAATTTTCTGTTGATCTTTACGTTTTTCATCTAAGGTCATTAGCGTTACCTATTGTTAAAATATTTGGGTTAGTGCGCTTACGTATATCTTATGCATAAGTGTTAGCGTATCTTAATAAATACTTTTATATAAAATAGTCAAATTGCAATCTTTTATTACCTGTTGAAGTAATCTTGTCGTCGTGTCACGTACTATATTCGAGATCCCACAAGATGAATCAAGAATAGCCATCGTATTCTCACCGTTCCCTATACAACCACTTGAAATGTCTTCCTCGCTTGGCAGCTGGTACGTGTGATGGTAATATCTTAATAACAATTTTTCTTCGTCAGTGTATTTCCTTCAAGAGTACAGAATATCGAAGTAAAGTCTATCTACCTTATCAGGTTCCTTGCGGCATATATCGTTGGATGATCTTTTAAGGAAGGATTCAGGTAGACCCTGTTCAGGTTTACACCTCTCGTATCCATTCGGTAATGGCCTCTGGCGACACCATCAGGATTAAGCATTGGTATCATTTTGAACACATACAAACGGCGGAGGTTGATCGCAATTTGATCGTCACGATTCACAAGAAAATTGAGGAGACCGTTGAAAACGAAACTAGATGGTGTCTCTCCCGGATGAACTCTTGCACTAATGAAAATTATCTAAACATTTCAAATGAGAACAACTCTATAGTTATATTTATATACGTATATTATACACGTTGAAATCGATCACGTACTTTTTTATCCCAGAATTTAAAGGGCCTCTCCTCTTCTTTCTCAGGAAACAAGTTATTCAGTCTGTCTTCTCTCTCCCCTGATATGTTATGAAAAGAACTTATCGTTATTAGATCCAGTCTTCGTCCTTCCAAAGATTTTATTGCACATTCCCTATGATAATAAACATCGTCGACTGATGTTATAGTCCTCTTTGATAATTTTGTTTCGATTCTTTTCAAATAATTTTGTAGATCGGTGTATGAAAATGGATAAGTGAAAGCGAAATACGTTATTGCTTTCAGATTTTCAGGAGCATTATAAGTGAATGATAATGTAAAATCATTCCCTTTTTGATCCATCTGAAATATTATGAACATATGTACAATCGATTCTTGAAAACATGTATTATATATAACATATAAAGGTTTACACTGTAAGTAGGTTTGTCATGAATCCGTTGCCAATGCAGGTGACCAGGTATGGTTTTGAAAACAGGACACATCCCTTGGCTGAACATTTTCAGTTGTTTATTTAAATTCATTATATTAAATTTGATATAAGCCCCTGGACTGTTAACTTTAACACCGAAATAGAACCATGTCCTGTTATTGTTTTGAAACTGGGTTCCATGACAGTCGTGTTTCGTCCACAAGTTAAATTCATAATCTGGGATATCGTCGGAATTTGAGCTTTTACACGACTTGTTCTCTGCCTCACATCCATCTAAAAGTGGTGAAACAACAAATTACGTGTCGATATGTAGGTCATGACAAAAATGGGCTACCTTTGTCAAGCGCTTCTGGGACCTTCACCAATTCAACTTTGGCCAAGTTGGCCGAATCGAAGTTATTGTAAAATACGAAGCCTCCGCATACGATCGAATCACCCAGATTTGCCATAATGTGTCAAAAGGTTAAGGGTTGTCTGCAAAATACTTGTATGAAACGTTTTACGGATTCGCGATCGACATGACAGCACAGTTTCATGTCTGTAAATATGTTCGTATTGTTCGTATCCTCACTTTCTCCGATATCGATTGGAATTTCCTTCGACCGTGGTGTTACTTTTGTGTTAAAAAAGTCATGTTTGACAGCTATCTCGAAATCGTCACGATTTCTAAATAGTTCAGTCCGCCCTTCGTATCGCGAAGTTTGTTAACGTGCTCTTTAGAAACAAGGTGAACTCTCTTTTTATATTTATTCCCCCTTAAATTATATGCGACGTATTATTATATTCACGCAATATTCCCAACGATATCATTGTTGTGCCTAATGCAAACATGTTTACGAGTTCATTGTAACATTCGCATGTAGGAGTTGTAGGAGCACTAATTGTGACAGAATGACGGACGTCGTTAATTTTCAATTGTTCCATTTAGTACAACGTTTGAATTATTCAAAGTTGTTACCTCTATCCGATTAAATCGAACGTTAACACAAACACTTCCATAACTTCTCAAACTGTTACTTTCACGCACAAAATGTTAGGACCACACACATCCACCCACGTTTGTTATGTAACTATTCATTTTTTCACTTTACTTCGATCGTTACCTGAGATTAAATCGAATTTTGAAGAAACTTAAAAAGCGGTAAGGGTGACAAATACTGGTGAAAAATACATGAAAAATCAACTGTTGCACTTGGGTGCAATGTAAATTCTTATTCGTAACTAACCGAGACCATGTCGGTCGATGAATATAAGCGTGATCTATGTATTTAAAAATTATTATTGTCAATAGTAATCTGGCACAATACACTAATCATTACGTATCTATCGAAGCCTGTTAAATCAGAACATTAAAGCGCGAACAGAAATGTCCAATCAAGTTTCATCGAGCCAAGCAATTGTGGATTACATTTTACATCGTACATAAAAATCTTTCTTTCACAATTCGCTACGTGCTGGACATATATTTTATTATATGCGTCGGCGTCGATCAAATATTCGAAATAAAAACGCGAGAGGCTTTTAAATTGCGTTATCTAATTAATCGATAAGACGCCTTAATCGTTCACCTGCCTGTCGGCATGTGGCGGCCTCTGTTTCGCGTGAAACAGTGTACTGTGAATAAGAATTAAGTCAACAAGGGTCGATTCCAAATATTTCAGTGTTTCGTTCACTCGTGCTGTATCGAACGTTTCCTTGGCAATTGTCTTCTAATAAAACTGTAAAATGAAATAGAACTGTGCCCCGAACGATAGGAACAATTCTGAATGCGTTGGTCGATCGCGAGTGACATTACAAGTGCTTTTGTGGTATGTCTACGTCCCTCATCAATAATTCTTCGTCTTTAAATCACGTATCTTGAAAACGGTCGACTAATTTTTACTTGATAAGTGTGGATGATACGAAACGGTTAAAGAAACGACGACACTTCAGTCAGGCTGTCAACGTGGCATGCAGTGGCATATGCCGCTGACCGAACCAGGGATGACATAGAACCGCGTCTCTTACTCCTTCCACCAGCACATTGGCTCGATTCCCCTCCGACGATGCCCTGCAAGGGAAAGTCACACTATCCCCACTATCGTTGCTTACTTGATTCTCACGTGCCCGCGATTTAGTCACGTGGTGTGCGCGACTAAGAATTAAGAATAAGCACAGAATACTTCACTGTTGCCGCAAATTAATGTGAACTCATGTTCATACGTTTTAATTCATTTATCATAAAGGACATGTAGTGTTGTCTGGACGGTTCGATGGACTGCGCCTCGCGATACTTCGCATAGCAGCCACTTCAGACGGTGCCAGATGGAGCCGGCTTCGAATATCCAAGATTCGATTCTACTTCCCAGAAACACCCCTGCCAAGGCCGCGCGGTGTAAATCGAATACCGCGCTGGGGCAAGGAAAAACCCTGCCCCCGAACGAGAACCGTCCAAGAACAAGTTGGACCTGCCCTTCATTGAGGCGCACTCCTTTGGTTACTCCGCTACACCATCAGTACTGACGCAGCGGGGCGTGAGAGCGAGGACCACGAGAAGGCGGAGAGCTGGCGTCGGGTTGCGCCCGGTCCCTTATCATAAAGGACAATCACATTTCTAAAACATATGAAAATGATTTCGTATTAATTCATGATAAAAGCAAAGTATTCTGTGCTTATTCTTAATTTCGTGCGCGTGTCGCGCGCACACCACGTGACCATTCGCGGTCACGTGACAATCAAGCTAGCAGCAATAGTGGGAACAGCTTGAATTTCCCCTGTGGAGCATCGCCAGAGGGGAATCGAGTCAATTTTCTAATGGAAGGGGTATGGGATGTATTTTTCTGGCATCCCTGCCACGTACTACGTACCCACACCCATGCGAAATCTCATATCTTAAGAGACACCAGCTCGGTGTCGTTGGTTCAGACTGTGGTTCGCAGTAGCTCAAAGCATCAGGCAGCTTAAAACCAGTTAATCATTCTCTCATTCGGTTTCCGGCTTCGCTTTCCTTCCAATTATTGCTTATTTACGTGGCGGGTAATCGTGCAACTGGAGCAACATGTGCGGTGAGTAAACGACGCTTTTTACCTCGTGTAAGAACTTATCGTTTCGTCGTTCACTTGCCATCAGTGTCGGTACCGAACTGGAAAATTTCTATTCAAAAAGCTTCAGACATAAATTGATGAAACTATGTTTTGATAACGTATCGTTCTTCATAAATGCGCTTATTATTAGTTGTCACCGGCGTGTTGTACCGCGGCGTCATTTACTTCACGTCGTTCTAAATTAATCTGTTTGCATATGTAAACATGGTTCAAAGGCGGAGTATTTAAAACTCTTGATTATTTTACACGGTCATGAATTGGTGCTCGTTAACATGGTAATTCGTAGCGCGTAACGAATAGAATAGACGACGCGTTTGTATCAGCGCGTTCCCGAGGCCGAGTTCCTGTTTCCGAGATGATTTTACGCCGGGAGAAAAGAACATAAGAAAGCTCGTTCTATCATTTGGAAAAAAATGGAAAATTCTGCAAGTATAATGAATCAATAAATTATTATGTCAAGTGCGTATCATCTGTCACTGTGACGCGAGTCAACGATAAGTTTAACCGGGAACTTTCCTATGCACGAACAATTAATGTTCACATAGCGTATTAGCTTGGTTTCTAAACGACTTTTTGTTGCTGCTAATGGAAATTTATATTTCCAATAACAGGTAACCCAAAATAATGTTGCATTTAAATACTGCACTAAGGAAAACATATTTTGAGGTGCGCGTTGTCGTGGTTGATAAAGTACCGGTACAAATGTATAGTTTCGAGTAAAAACGGAATTAATATATAATAATACAATCGAATGTTGAGGATTCTGTATTATTTAATAAATAAACAATGTTTTACCTATAAGTCTTGTGAATTGGCGTTCATCCCAAGGGATATTCATCTTTCTCCACGAAATCTGGAACATATTTATTTATTTCTTTTTGACGAACGTATCCCGTGGGAATGAATAAGAAGCTTGAAAGATCAACTATCTTTATTTCCTAATTTACTCGCGTTGGTTATTACTTGCGACATCGGAATTTATTTCCGCCGAGCCGTGAGAGGTTTTCTATCAAAAATTTAATCTCCACGTTGCCGAAGGACCGAACGTTACGGACAAAATTACGAAAGCTTTTTGCGTCACTTTTCTACTTACCGTGTAATAATCTGTTTTCGATCGTTCTTGCCGCGGCGAAAGTTAATCCCTCCCTTGACGTTCGGTTCGAAGAAAGGGAATTCGACGTGCTAGCAAACTCGCAACGCTCTTTCCTGTTAAACAATATTCAATCACGAGTCAGCGTAATCTTAATTAAACAGAACCAGACGAGGCTAATTAGAATACCGTTCTGATATTTTGTCAAGTGGTTTCGTATCGCAGAAATGTACATTTCCGTGATGAATCCCTTTTACGTTTACAGTCATCGTTCGGATTAACTAAGTGTACAGGATTTAATTAGCGACCCTACAAGATGATTTAAGGATGTATTGGCTATACAGTCAATCCCAAAAGTTTATGTATCTTAGAAAAACGCATTTCCTATAATTATAAAGAAATCAGACGTCGGANCTGTATAGCCAATACATCCTTAATAATTATCGATTACTAGCACCTTCTTAGATATTTCGGAACAGTAGTTAGCTATTTCCACGTGAATACATTTCCTAAGTCGATACGTTTATTTCAGTTAGGTCACACGTTTCATAGACTCGGTTAATATTGTTCTCCACTCACGAAAACGTTCTCGAAACATGTTCCACCGTGGTTTCCTCGATCAAGGTGTGATCGTACCCGGTGAACGACCCAGGTGTTTACGTCCTACACTACTTAGATTCACTTTCTTACAACTAGATGAAAGTATTGAAAAAGGTGTTCATATCGTCGAAAGTTTTGCGCGATAATTACTAACTATGGCTGGTCGATTGAGGACGTATTTGCCGAATAAGAGAAACCAGAGAAATGTCGAGAGAGTTGCAGAAAGAAAAAACTTCTCTCGGTTATGAAATTGCGAAATTTTTTTAGTGCCATCGATCGAGGCATAAAATCTTTTTGAAAAATCTACTCTTTAATTATCTCAGTTCGTTTCGTTGCAACGGCCGCTTGCAAATTGTACACGTTTCCAAACGGCATTCCATCAAATTACGGAAGCGTACAGTTGCAGCGTGTTACATTCTAACAGATAACAGGATTGTTACAATGTTGCAATGTGACTCGGCGGGTGTCCGTTCAGTGTAAGTTCATCGAAAGTTTATCGCAGCAAAACGGTGCACGGGTGTCTATTATTTTTCGTCGCGGCTTCTCTCTCGTTTACAATAGCGGCTAATCGAGCCTGACTATCGAGGCCGACATCGTGCCCGACGAACCAACGAGTGAAAGTTACCTCGTGGCGAACCCGGCGCTGAGAGAAGGTGCAGCGCATTTTACAGGACAGTTACATGTGACATTTAGAAGCGGTCTCGCGTGCGCAACACGTACTATATGTATACATATATACATGCAGACACACTTTCAAAATGAGAATGATTCGTCGTAATCGTATACATAATACATTTCTTTGTTTATTCGCAAATAGGGAGCGTCTCAGTAAAGAAAAAAGATGAAAACGCGAAAGACGGTGAAGAGTGATACATAAAATGTTGGGTTTCAGATGTATTACGAAGTGCAATAAAGAACGCAATGAATTGTTTTTAAATTTTTCTCAGTGATCTCTTTTAACTGCCAAAATCGAACTGAACTAAACAGTCCTATGCTTTAAGAGATCCTTCTCCCTATACCCGGTATCACTATTTTGTCTATGGCATAGAAATGTGTTCGTCTATAAGATTTGTTCTCAAAATTTCATAGGATACCTTTATAAGTTCAGGATATCTTTGCTGTATACCAACGATATTGATAATTAAGTTAGAGATACTCCTTATCTTTGATACCTCTACACCGAAATTCATTATTCTATGACTCCTCTTTCTCTTCCCCTGATATACTCCTAGACTCATATTTGCAAACTTCGTCCTATCTTCGCTGCATCATTTCTAAACCATGACCTCACTCTCAAATACTAACTCTAATAGTCCTACTTTATAAATCCTAATTCCCACCATGAAAACCCCAAAAATTATACCTTAGCCCGTTTCCACGATCGGAGAGCACTCTCGTTCCGAACTCTGACAGATGACATCTCACCCTCGTTAAAGCAGTAGCCTTGCTTACTTAGTGTCACCGCAAAGTTGTATTATTTAATAAAGCTTATGCTATGGAATGCAATACTTTATACACAAACTTGCTGAAGATACGACAAGGAAAATTTATGAAAAGATTATAATAAAAAGATTCATTTTTGTATATATATATATCTACATATATAAAATATGACGATACGTCAGTTCCTTTGCTCTGTTCATTCTTTTTCCATCAGAACCAGATTTTTGTTTACCTCCAGGGAATTCCAGCGAGCAGAGTTTGCCCGGTTGGCGACGGAAATAACCCGCGCTGGAATTCGTTTATGGTTACGTTTTTCCATTTTTGACCCTTGACGGTTTCCCTTTCACCTGTTATCTGCCTGTCCAAGGAACGTCTCGAGCTTCGCATTTTTTCCAACCGTCCGAAGGCAATCTTCTTGCCTTTTGTCCGAGAGATTTTGCACGGTCCTTTCTCTAATAGTCGCATAAAGAATGATTTTAACGTTCATGTTAATCGTAAGATTCAAGGTGAGACGTGAGATAGAATATGAAAAAGATTGTAGCTGCGTTCCAATTGCGGTCATAACGGAGCGAGGAACTCCGAAGAAAAATCATTTGTATCGCGTGTTGGGAGATTACATACGGCAAACGCTTATGGAAATCGAGAGAACCGTATCATGGTAGAATCTCCGTTATATGAGCCAATTAGCAGAGGAAACCTCCTTGTTTATCAAAAGATTGTCAAGCGATGTCTCGCCGACTTCGTGGGTCAATTCGGCCGATCGAATCGATCTGTGTCAGTAGGTCGGAGAAGACTGTATCCTGATCATTCGTTCGTATTCGAGTCGACTTCCCCCCGTGGACGTCGAATGCATTGCAATCAATCGAAAAATTGTATCGCGGCAAGCATGAAAAAGTTCTATCATTTAATAGATTAAGGAAAAATACGTATCTGGAAATTATATAGAATAGATAAAATCCGAGACTCCAAGCGAAGTACAATGTTGTTATCGAATGAGATTTCTATTTACATGCCGTTATCGTTTATCGAGGATTCAATTGAATTAAAAATCCAAGCGACATCTGCTTCTCGGCGACCATTCAATGATTTTACTTATCGCGATAGCGTAAGACGTTAAATAAGGAAAAAAATAGCTGGTTGTAAAACGTTTTAGGAAGTCGACACTTGTTATCAGCGCAGTTTTAATTATTCCCTGTGAGTCATACAAGACATTGAGATATTATCGATCTCCGAAGGAAGACCTCGCGGAGATAACGCGATAATTGACTTTATCATCGATAGAGAACATTCTTTTTCTCATTGGGCTACGTTTAAAGGGAGATTTTTTTCCCCATATCCCCTTCAACCCTTGATTGCGCGCGTAATAATCTTTTATTCTTCACTATCGAAAAGATTCGCTTATCGACAATTGCAGAGAGCAATCTAATCGTGACGCGATCGTTCAATCGCCTATTGTCGGCTCGACTGGAAATCGAATTACACTTATACGCGCCGATGCACTGTACGCTCGTTCCTCTGTAATTATTATTGCTTTTCGTAAGTCCATGCACGGTGGCAGTTCCTCGACCGGCTCTATTTCTTTTTTTTAACTATACGTCGCGTGGTGGTAATGGGCGGTACGTTCATCGATCAAATTTATCCTAACTTTGATATTCGTCAATTTTTCGAGAGATCATGCGATAATTAAGTGAAGAACAAACGTCGACCGGAAGTTAGATCTTCCGTTACTCTCTAAATCCTGTGTGGTTCTTGTGAATTAAAGGCATCGACACGGAAGTTTCCCTTCCGAATGACCAGAGTGATCGTTAAATTAGTCATTGCCGACGTAAACCGTTATATTTATTAACCACCGTAATGTTTATTACTGGACAGGTTCTAGCTTATTTCAGTCTCAGTCGTTTCGCAATAATTACCGTCTGCGATTGTAATTAATGTTGCTCGATAAGACAATCGATAAGTCTTTACTATTTTATTACTCGATAAATCTTCTACTCAGCTGAAACTGCTCTTAAACTTTCATTGTTCCGATTAACGTCATCCTTGTTCTCGTTCTACCTTGATTACTGCGATCGTGTCCTAACACCTTTCTAAATCGAACGACGCGTTTTAAACTCGATACGTTGAAATTCTCTTGCTCGCATCGATCGAATTGCATCCTATTCACCGGTGGAGTTCTATCGAACGTAACATTAGACAAAGTGAAACAATACGTGTATATGTATATCTATGTAACGTACTCGAACGGTTCGATGGGAAGAAAAGCATTGTCGCTGGTCTAGCAAGCATTTCGTTCAGTCTCGTGCTCAAAAGCTTTCCCTTTCACTTGTGCTGTACGCGTGTCTCCAGGATTGTTTAATACCACTCGGGCATCTTTTTTCCTCAAGCTACGTGCGTGTGTCTTGTTCATGGCCGACGGCTTTTTGCATTTTTGCAATGTGAGACCTCGAACATGGCCCCTGCTATCGATACGGTTTAAGGATAAGAATTTTAAGAATTCTTTACGTTCGCTTATACATTTTTATACGACACGAAACAAGTGGATATACGCGACTTTACAAGCTTTCTCTTCAATATCTTTTACACTTGATATTCACGGCGGGTATCTTTGAGGAAAAAGAATGTCCGGTTAGTAAATCGGGTCGTTTCCGCGTTTTATCGCCGCGACGACCTTCGAGTGAGTAAAATGTTGCAACCGAGAGAAAAGTCAGTAACAGTTAACTCATTGAAGGTCTGTTTTCTCCTTCAGAAAGCCTGATTAATTTTATGATTGAGGGAGTGATTCGGTGCTCGATTCATTCGTTAACAAAGTAATGTAGAAATTAAATTAGAATAATTTCTCTTTTCTTTTTGTCTCAGGAATTTTCGCGTATATCAATTATCTGACGCCGAAGAGTAGAAAGGAGATTCTCGAGCTACTCGTTGGCGGATTGAAGAGATTAGAATACCGAGGCTACGATTCCGCAGGTAAGGATGGATCATCGATTGTCGAAAATGATTTCGTAGAAGAGAAAACGACCGAAGAGATCGGGACTTTGAGATCGACCTTCCTGTTTCCCGGAATAGAAAGTGAATAAAAGTTCGATGACAATGTTCAATATATGCTTTATGTCTCAGGCGTCGCCCTTGACAGCGCCGATGGCAAGGATATCACGATTATTAAAAAGCAGGGAAAGGTCAAGGCACTGGAAGATGAAATTTTTTATCGTAAGCGTTCCTACTTTCACTTTTTAATTGTTCAACCAAATTAATAAATGAACTGTACTAAATGTATTCATAAAGAAATCTAGAATTCATTTTACAATGAGATAAATGAGTCAGTCAATGAAATAAGGCAGTGAAATATAATATAATAGTTTCTCTTGAACTGTGATGACGTTCCAATAAGAGATAAAATTAGGTATAAGTTGTTATTTTCCTAAGGTACCAATATTGACTTCGAATCGAAGACATGCATCCACGTGGGTATCGCGCACACCCGCTGGGCGACCCACGGTGTCCCATCCGAGCTGAACTCGCACCCGCAGAGATCGGACAGCGGACATGGTTTCCTCGTTGTCCACAATGGAATTTTGACTAACTACAAAGAACTGAAGACGCTGCTTGAGCAAAGGGGCTACAGCTTTGAGAGCGATACTGACACAGAAGTCATCGCGAAGCTGATCCACCACTTGTGGGTACAGCATCCGGGTTTCTCGTTTCGGGAGCTGGTCGAGCAGGTGGTTCAACAATTGGTAGGTGTTCTACTATAAATCTTATCAATTTATAAATAAATGAAAAGCAATAATTCTACAGATAAGATAACGAACACTTACTTCTAGTAGTGTGATTAAAAAGAATTGTTTTGATTAATAAACTGAAAAGTTTTATCAAAGTATCTATATACAGTATTAGTTCAAATATTTCATCATTTGAACATTGAAGTATGCTTTCAGTTTTTAATATTCTGAATAGTTTTATAGATTACAATCCGTAAAATCATTTGTTTAAGTTAATTAATTAATTTGGTTTTATTTGAAATTTCAGGAAGGCGCTTTCGCGTTGTGCTTCAAGAGCAAGTATTTCCCGGGCGAGTGCGTGGCCACCAGAAGAGGTTCCCCGCTCCTCGTCGGCATTAAAACGAAGACGAGACTTGCTACAGACCACGTGCCCATCCTCTACGGAAAAGGTAAGTCAATGAACGCATTACGGACGTGACTTAGTCGAGGTATTAGCGGGGCAAGGTATAGATATATGTACGTATAGAGATTTGGATAAACTTTAGGGAAGATCACAAGGCTATTTAGTCACTCGGATAACGAGTGATAATGCCGATAATTTCGGTATAAGTCGTACGCTTTTTAAACTCCGATTAATTTCCGAAGGGAAAGGCGAACCCTTTTTTAATCGTCAATTAATGATCAGTCCTCTTGCTCTCCTTGCAAAGAGGTTGGTGTATGGCAATATCCGGCGAGTAATTATGGTTTCTTTGTGTGTCACATTTATAAATTAAATGTAACGTGTATTAATAGCATGTGCCTGCTACAGTAACCTCGATCTATAGCTTATCTATTCTTTATATAATAATCGTGTCTATATTCTTTAAAATAATATATTGGACTTTCGAAGCCACACACTAAGTCGCATCATTGCATCGCTATTTTATGTTTCTCTTCAATGTTCTTAATATCGAGGTAGAAGACATTGATTAATAATAACATTAATAATAATAATAATAGTAATAATAATTAATAAACGACGCTAGTGCTAAAATATCTTGCTCGAATTATTACGTTTGGATAATTGCTTAACACGTAGATATTAAGTTTATTTTATTTGGTACGAACGTCGATTATTGAGATACGAACAAGATAGAACGAAAGTACTTTATCGTTCGAATAATCGATGTTCTACAGTGTAGTGTAGTTCATTTAC